GGATCATTTTCAGGTCTTTTCGGTCAATCTCGTCGGTACGGCCGGGCGGTATGATTCCCGGTAAGGGCTTAGGGCAGGGCTGGCCCAGTGAGTGACATAGTCCACCCGGGTGTGTGCTGTAGAACTGGACGATCTCGTGGAGGAACCGGAACTCCCTGTTGGCCATGGAGTAGGTGTCGTGAGGGGTTTCCTTGATTTGGTAGTGTTTGACGTTGTGTTTGCCGGTGGCCACCATCGGGTCGTAGTCCCGGATGGACAGGGCGTACGATTCTGGGGGTAGGGATGTGTGAGGTTTACATTAGTGTTTTGTGAAGTTTTGTTTAATAAGGAGTTAGTATTGAATTAATTATCAATTAAGTTTAGAAACTAGTTTTGTTATTGTTTTATATTAGTTATTATTTTTGAAGTAAGTTTGAAGTATTAATTAATTATTGATTTGTTTTAATTAGTTTTGATAACTTTGAGAATTATTTTCTAATGTTATAGCGATTTGAATCCTATATTTAGGTGGCGGTGAGGGTTATTGGGCTGTATGTGCGTCAACCCTAATTGTAGTATCAGGTGTAATAAAATTGAAATATAAAAATCATTAGTTGCTAATAATTAAGAATATATGGCCACCAATTATACTTGAAGTTCACTGGTAACATAAAACTAATATAAAACACATGTATTAATGACTAGTATTTTGTTTCTCAATCGTAAGGCCAATGAAACGTAACGCCAATGGATGTCCTTTTTCTATTGAATACTACCAGTGCTCGCAGCGATTGAAATGAATTATTTAACGCCGTTTTCTTTACACCTAATACTCGGCTTGAATTTCATGAATTAAATTTTGTATTTTTTTGAGTGAAAACATCATAAAAACCTTTTTATTTTATCACTAAATAACAAAAGCCCACGATTTTTATCGTAGTTCCCTGTAATGAATGACTGGCTTATGATATATTGTACACAAAAAGGTTTTTTACGAAAAAGTTTTTTAAAAGTCAAATAACTTTCATTGAATTTATTAGCTATCATTGAATTGGAAATTAATTTTTTTGGTAATTATTTGCAATAAATTATCTAATTATGAGCGAAGAGAGATTGGGGAGAGAGAGAGAGAGAGAGAGAGAGNAGCCACTTTTACCTCGTTATTATCGCCCACCAGTATATTCCTGGCCGCCAGGTCTCGGTGCACCAACTTTATGGACTCCAAATAACTCATACCTGAGGCTACCTGTGAGCACATGTCAATCAGATCGGGCAGCTTCAGGGACTTTCCCTCCGGACTGTCCCTAAGATAGTCCAATAGAGCGCCTTTGCGGACAAACTCCGTGACTATGAGTAAGGGCTGTCCCCGGGAACAGACGCCATAAAGTTTGACGAGTTTGTCGTGTCGGCACCTCCTCATGACCACCGCCTCGTCCAGGAAAGCCTTCGGTGACATAGTTCCCGGTTTAAGTCGTTTGACAGCCACCTCTGCCTGACCCAGGAATGTGCCGTAGAATACTGTGCCAAAGTTGCCGCTCCCTAATCGTCGGATCATTTTCAGGTCTTTTCGGTCAATCTCGTCGGTACGGCCGGGCGGTATGATTCCCGGTAAGGGCTTAGGGCAGGGCTGGCCCAGTGAGTGACATAGTCCACCCGGGTGTGTGCTGTAGAACTGAACGATCTCGTGGAGGAACCGGAACTCCCTGTTGGCCATGGAGTAGGTGTCGTGAGGAGTTTCCTTGATTTGGTAGTGTTTGACGTTGTGTTTGCCGGTGGCGACCATCGGGTCGTAGTCCCGGATGGACAGGGCGTACGATTCTGGGGGTAGGCATGTGTGAGGTTTTCATTAGTGTTTTGTCAAGTTTTCTTTAATAAGGAGTTAGTATTGAATTAATTATGAATTAAGTTTAGAAACTAGTTTTCTTATTGTTTTATATTACTTATTATTTTTGAAGTAAGTTTGAAGTATTCATTAATTATTGATTTGTTTTAATTAGTTTTGATAACTTTGAGAATTATTTTCTAATGTTATAGTGATTTGAATCCTATATTTAGGTGGTGGTGAGGGTTATTGGGCTGTATGTGCGTCAACCCTAATTGTAGTATCAGGTGTAATAAAATTGAAATATAAAAATGATTAGTTGCTAATAATTAAGAATATATGGCCAGCAATTATACTTGAAGTTCACTGGTAACATAAAACTAATATAAAACACATGTATTAATGACTAGTATTTTGTTTCTCAATCGTAAGGCCAATGAAACGTAACGCCAATGGATGTCCTTTTCTATTGAATACTACCAGTGCTCGCAGCGATTGAAATGAATTATTTAACGCCGTTTTCTTTACACCTAATACTCGGCTTGAATTTCATGAATTAAATTTTGTATTTTTTTCAGTGAAAACATCATAAAAACCTTTTAATTTTATCACTAAATAACAAAAGCCCACGATTTTTATCGTAGTTCCCTGTAATGAATGACTGGCTTATGATATATTGTACACAAAAAGGTTTTTTACGAAAAAGTTTTTTAAAAGTCAAATAACTTTCATTGAATTTATTAGCTATCATTGAATTGGAAATTAATTTTTTTGGTAATTATTTGCAATAAATTATCTAATTATGAGCGAAGAGAGATTGGGGAGAGAGAGAGAGGGAGAGAGAGAGAGGGAGAGAGAGAGAGAGAGAGAGACTCTTACTTAAGGTATCCGGAGTATTGTGCTCGCTCAATCGGATTAGGAAAGTTCCAGCCGGGTATTCGCCATATAATAGTAATTTCTCTGCCGCCCTCCTCCCGATGCACCCATAGTACCAGCTGTAAGGGCACAACCATGTTATTCAAGCACAATTAAAAGTATAATAACATTAAATATATATACCAGCATTGTATAGTAAATTGTAATATAATTAAGTACTATTGAGTCCACTATTCAGTCATTTTATGATTGATTGCTAATTGAAACCTAAATGACATTAGCATTCATTTTACTATTAGATTAGACTTAGAGAACCATGACTTCAATATTTTCACATTCAATAGGTTTTTAGGTTTTATTATTTTCTTACATTTGATTGTTTCTAATTTTTTTGAAGACTATCATTACATTTAAGGTTATTAAACAATAATTAGTGTATATATTCACTCGACACTTGAATCAATGGGAATAAACAATAGTTTGTAAACATTAGTACACTTATAGTTATTTTCTATTTGTTTGACATTTAATTAATATTAGGAATATAAGTCAATGAAATGCTAAGCATACAGGTGCTGTGTAATAATTAAGTCCTTCATATTCACACTTATTGGTAGTGACAGGGAAGTCGTATTTAAATTTATCCCTGTTAATTAGACACTGAATTACATTATCACATACTAGACAGAAAATATTCATGTTTTTTATTAAAAATTAATATTCTGATAATAAATTAGCAATCTAATACTAAATAATTATTAAAATAAATTTCTAGACTGATATAAAACGTGATATATTTTGAATAATAATTATTGGGTTATTAAGTTTTTATGTTTTATTTTTATAAGATTTCATAACTGTTCAAAACTATTTATAAGTAATAATTTTTAAATAATTAACTAGCACACTTACTCTTCGGACTCGATAACTGTGGTTCCCACATAATTAGCCGGTATATAACCAATTTCACCTGTCTCAATTCGCCTAACTGTCCACCAGTCGGGATCGCTTCGCTCTAAAACCTCCAGTTTCTCCCCTTTCCTGAACGTCAGGTCTCCGGTATGTTCGGCCCGATAGGCATACATCGCGATCACTATATTCTCAGGATTATCGATGGCTACCGGTGCTGGTGGTGGTGGTAGTGGTAGTGGACACGGCTTGGATGAGGTCTGGTATATAAGAACCTTACCGTTGGGTGCCATCCCTGGTAATGGGTGTCCATTATCTTGAGGTCTATTTTGTTTGTCTTTCGGTAATGTCTTAAAACTGGTTTCACTCGAAACGGACTGATTTTTATCCTTTTTCTTGGTTTTGTCACTTTTGTTAAGTTTTTCAGATTTAGATTTACCCGGTATATTGCCCATTGTGAATGTGATTTAACATTATCAATTAATAACGAGTGTTTGTGTAGTATTCATAGTTAAAAACATTTAGCTTAACTTAAAAGCGTATGAATTGTGGCATTAATTGTGCAAAACAAGTGTCAAAATGGCTTATAATATGTGTCCGGATATTAGAGAATCCGTTCTGATATACAGTATATTATATGCTATTTCTCTATCGAAAGTGTCATTTCCGCCAAAAATTTATGTCATACTTTGGCTCTCATTGCATGTATGACTGATAAATCAGTTGTAGGTTTACTATCGAGACCATTTTTGTGAGCAATTATTCACGTCTAACGCGATATTCAAATACAAATACAAATTTGAATTCTTATTATGGATTTTTCGGGGACTTGTATGCGATTACTGAGAATTTTATGAGTAATTTCTCAATGAGTCTTAAAACTATTATTATAGGACTATAATGAGATTCTGTGCTAAATATGACACGTTTTCACAATTAGTAAATCAATAACAAATTTACCCAAAGGTTATTAAAGGTGTAAAATATATTAGTTGTTTTAATTTAATATACAATACTTTTAAAAACTTCAATAACTATAAAACTTTATTATTAACGTGTGTATCAATATTAATATACCCGATCAGAGAGCTATAGATTTTTATTATTGTAATTATTTTTTGTTTAATTTTATTTTGAGGTAAACTTGGAAATAATGAACACATGTTTGTGTTAATTTAATTATATTCCCAGTCGGTGTTTAATAAACCAATTAAAATTTTAGATTAAGCTAGCACAGACTATTAATTAGTGTCATTGGCTGCCAATAACACTATGATTTACGCCGATGTCTCTCATTATGAAATACTTGTATAGATTTCTATGCAATATATGAAGACTTTTCCCAATTATATATGCTATTGACTAACATTTATGAAGCGTTTTTGGTACTAAAATGATACAGGTGGAAAGCCTTCAAAAAAAGTTAATGCGATTTAAGAGATTAGGACTCAAGTTATCTAATGGGCTCTCAATATCGGAAAACTCTTTCCATAGTATTGAATAATTATTTGATAACATATATTGTAACTAATTTTAATCCTAGATATCAAATTGGTATTAAGTCTGCCGTAAAAATCGGAGTTTTTTCTCAAAGTTAACTATAAGTTTCATTGATTAGAAACTTTCCACTTAAATAGGTATTATTTTTAATGATTTTAAATTAGAGCTAGACAATAAAATGTTTTCAAAGTTTCTAATAAATTTTTTAATTAAAGGTTTTAATGTATTTAAAGTTTTTTTTTATAAAACCTTGCATTTCCTGAGAACTCTATTTTATTTCTATATTATATAACTAACCTGGTTACTATATACTGTATTATATACTGGTTAGTATAGACCAGTATAAGTAATCTGACAACTCTATAATTTATAAATAATATTACATGATAAAACTGTTTGATACTGATGAGATTAACTAATATAACTGTTAAGGAAAGCATCAAGATATATTTTATTTTTATGTCTAACCATATATACACTCCTATAATAGATTAAGTAACAATTTTTTGGAAAATATTTTGTTTTTGTTATTTAATGATTAAATAATCTCAAAATTCGTTGCAATTAAAAGACTTTTATAAATAAATTAATGCTATTTTTGTGGTCCATTAATACATAAATATAAACAAAAATATATTTTATATAAAGTGTAGCATTGAGTGAAATTATAACGTAACTGGTATTTCCAGCTATAAATAGAGTATATTTTTGTGATAAATATTAAAAGATACCTTTAAAACTAAAAATATTTTTCACATCAACATTTTTGTGTGTATAAGATTTACGAGTATTTGATTTATTTGAAATTATTTGAAAAATATAATTATTATGCAGTGTTTGTATCAAATGTTTTTAATACAAAACTTAGGTTTGCATTGATTTAAAGGATTGATAAGTATTTTTTCAAAATAATCAGATATATTAATAATTTTAGTGAAATGTGTGTGTTTTAGGGGTCATTCAATAGTAGGTACTCAATATTTTATTTAATTTATTAGTATATAGGACTTTATGTAGGCTACCCCGTCCCCAATCTAAAGGGTACGTACTTGTTGAATGACCCCTTATCATATATGCCCCGTAAAGTGTCACTTATTTTCTGTACGCTACCGTATGAGTGAATTTTATTTTCCCAAAAAATGATTTGTTTATAAATTCAAATTATATTATATACAAGGAAAAAATATGTTAAATTTTTGCATTTATTTTTTTGTTAGCCATCTACATATGTGTGCAGTGTAAGTTATTTAAATGATTTTAAACAAACACACGCACACACAGTGTGTTACATATACTTGAATTGAGATTAAGTTTGAGATTAGCTAAAATTAAATAAATTAAATAAGTAATCCATCAAAAATTTGTTTTTAGTAAAAAATATATTCACTGACTAGTCATATATTTGAGGGTTTTGTGTGTTAATTGAAATTTGAATAACAAAAGCGATAAAAACTATCCAGGGAAACTATAAATTAATGTATTATTTCGCAAATTGTTTCAAACATTGCAATCATGCGATAAATAAACTTTTATCTCATAATACAATTTGCGATTACTTTTTATCGTTACTTAATATAATCGATAAAATTTACAGTGATTTTCAAACTGATTGTATGGTATTGAGAGGGAAACCTCCTAATCAATAGCCCACTTAATAGGATAGACTCCATAATATAGGGCATTGAGAGTACAAATGAAATATTTTTATGTAATATTTGTCATCAAATCTAAGAAATAGTGTAAAATTGATTGCTTTTCACTATGGAGTGAATGACAAGCGAGAGATTAGTTTTCAATTAATTGGAGTTTTCGATCCTTGAGCTAAATATCATTGAAAATATTTTTATATAATAATTAAAGTTTAGGTACTCCTTGATGGCCATCCCTATAGAGATAGCACTGAAAAAACACTAGTTTTACAAATGATTAGCAAATATTGACGAAAATATGCGGAAAACTCTTTTTTCGACATTAAGTTTAGCACTTCTCGAGGTTTAGATAAGAAAACTTGTGTTGTAAAGGAAATGCATATAAAAAAAGGTTTTCCTATCCTTTACCTCCCATCCCATTACTGGTAATCGTTATGCAAACCACAAGTGTTCATAGATTGTGGTGGGGAGTGACAGACCTTTTTTAGTATTTATTATTATGTTGTTTATATAATTCATGAATTTTTCATATTAAGTTATATGATATGTTATTAATAGATAACCCTTAATTGCATTTCAATGTTTAGATTACAAATATTATAAAGGTTTTGATTTAATAGATTTAAGGTTTTGTTGAGTTTGTATGAAATATATATTTTATGTAATATAATATGTTTTAATCTTATATTGATATGAGTTTAAAAATAAAAATCATATTTTAAAATAAATTTTTATTTCGCCCATGCATAAAAGCAATTTTAATTTATTGAAATTAATTTATTTTAACATTTATTTAAGTTTAATTAAAAATTTTTATTTTAATTACTGATACATAATAAAATGTAGAAATAGTTTTTTAATACATTAAAATTTATTGGAAACAGTATATAAATTTATATTATAAAAAATCGGTGAAAAATAATATTCTCATTGATTTTTATATTATTATAAAGTTATTGAAACCAAAGAAATTCAAAAATAATTAATTATTTCCTCGAAAAATCTCATTTTCTTTTAGCACTAGTCGTGTCATAGAAAATGAGAAAATGAGAGAAAAATCTTTCATAAACTGAGAGAAGTTTTTTGAAATTATTTGATTTTCTGCTGAGAAAACTAAGCATTTGTTTCGCATATAATACTGACATATATTCGCATAGGTTTTCATTTATGATGTTAATTCTCATTGAAAATAAAGTGTATTTTATTATGACTTTCCTTCTCAATAGTCATCGAAAAACATAATTACATATAAAATGGTGATTGAATTAAATAACAATAAATTAAGCGTTTATAGCGTTTTGTTAATAAATTTATGATATTTTTGTGGAGAAAGTTAAGAAAATTATAGCGAAATCCTTAAGTCATAGGAAAATATAAAAATTACACTCTTTTTAGACTCCATTGGCATTAGTCTTGACATTAAAATCTGATTTGCATTTTATTGGCGTGTTTTACAAAGTCATATAAAAATGTATTTTTCGTTATTTTTAGGAAATATAAGCAAAAGCTAAACATTTTTAGTTATCTTTGAATTACATGAACACAAGACACGATTTTCTGTGGAAATATGAAAAATATTTTTAAAAAAGTTATTTAATTAACTATTAATACTAAGTATTTGGTTTTAGTGGTTTAATTAACTTTTACACATTTTCATAGTGCATTGCATTAACATTGTATAGTATAAAAATTAGTTATTATTTTTGTGTAATAATTTATGTAAGGTAATATAGTATATTTTTATAATCAATACTATAATCACAAACTATAATTAAATTTTATGAACTCGAAAACTTAATATTGGTTTATATTTTTGTTATAATGTATATAATACACTATGTATGTAATGTATTATTGCACTTATAAAAGTTGCTAGTTTAGAAATATAAGTTATTTTTGATGTTGTACAAAAATCCGAATTATTAAATTGTCAAGTGGGTTTAAAATATTTATTTGATATACTATTGAAATACTATAAAACCTTCAAAAAATAAGTAATAAATTTATTACAAATCAAATAGATTTATCAATTTAAATATATCGATGATTTTTGTTATCGTGAATATTCACCACTTAAATTTTATGTTTATGTTAATACTTGCATTTGAGGTAAAATATATGCAAAGTATGTAAAAACATTTTCTCAATAAATCAAAAATCTAAACTCAATTTCATGCTGCGATTAAACTTATAATAAAAATTTAAAAATTTTAAACATAATTTTTATTGACAATTATTATGATTAATGATTTATAATCATCGGATAGTCTCCTATTATGTTAAATAAATATACTGAACTGTATTAA